CACACAGACAAATACATACACGTGTATTTATGCACATCTACACACACACAATTCTACGGGCATGGGCTATAAATGCCGATTTTTTGTAGTCACCTTTTTGTGTAGTTTTATAGCGTCTTTTACCAACTCATTAGTTACCCACACCAGATAACCAAAGTTAACAGCCAGGTCTGACTCGTAGAATCTCATACAAAGGTACATAGATACTGGGTTTTCGTGTGTAAATATTTAGAAAAAAATGGGGGTCCCTTTCTATGTACTCTGCATCTGCTTTACTCACTTAAATTCTATGACATTATACAAAAGCATCCAAGTCAAAAAGTACAGATGCAACTCATTCTTTTAAATTGTTGCTCACTTTTTTTGATATAAAGGTGTATTGCAATCTGTTCAGTTAGTCTCCCATTGATGGGCTTTTAGGCTCTTTCCAGTTTGCCCTTCCAGTTTTCCTTTTTTTTTTAAGATTTTATTAATTATTTAACAGAGAGAGAGTGAGAGAGAGTGCACAAGTGTGCGAGCACACAAGCAGGGGGAGCGGCAGGCAGAGGGAGAGATAGAAGCAGGTTCCCTGGGGCACCTGGGTGGCTCAGATGGTTAAGCGTCTGACTTCGGCTCAGGTCATGATCCCAGGGTCCTGGGATCGAGTCCCACATCAGGCTCCCTGATCCTTGGGAGCCTGCTTCTCCCTCTGCCTCTCTCTCTCTCTCTCTGTCTCTCATGAATAAATAAATAGAATCTTTGAAAAAGAAGAAAAAAAAAAAAAAGAAGCAGGTTCCCTGCTGCACAGGGAGCCCGATGCGGGGCTTGATCACAGACCTGGGATCATGAGCCCAGGGCAGACGCTAACCTTTTTTTGAATTGGATTTTCACTGAATATATTTAGTAATTCCAAGAGGATCAACATTTTTATGATATTAAGTGCTCCCACCCAGCAATATAGTACATAGTTCTACTTAGCGAGGTCTTGTCTTATGTCCTTTAATAAAATTTTATTGTTTTCTTTCTTGGAGTCATGCTTTTCTTGTTCAAAGAGATTCTGAAAAATTTTGCAGTTTTTCTTGTTAGAGAACATTAAAAATGCCTTTCTATTTCCTTTCCTGGCCAGTTATTTCTACTACTGGGGAAAGCAATTGATTAAAAGAAAAAATCTTTCCCATGTTTGCCGTCAGTTCTCCAAATCCCCTTCGTGCCTTTGTACTTTAATCCCTGGTCGTGTTGAAGGATTGCAATTCCCCACACAATGCCTCTGTGCCTTTGCTCTTTCCAGAAGGTCCTTCCCCTACGTCGCTGACTCACCCACACCACCTGTGAAGACTGACCACAGCCGTGCCTCCTCCTGGAAGCCTTCCCCCGACACCCCTGTGTTGGTGGGGTCCTCAGCTGCTCTTTCCTGGTATCTCCATTCATGCGTGTCTTGTTTGTTTTCTTCACTTTTCACCCCAGTTGTCTGTCTGTGTATAGTCTCACTCAGTGGACTCCGACCTCTGTGGAGTCATGGGTCAGGTCTTAAACAAATCGGTGTTCTCTGAAGCTAGCACCACATCTGGAACATAGTAAATTCTCAAAAAAGAGTGTGGCATGAAACTGCTCTGATTGGAAACAGCTAACGCCAGGCCAGAAAGACCTAACTTTCTAAGGACCTCTGATCTTTTCTGCTACATTACTCTTGATATTTACACATAAGTTACAGATACTCGTTCTTTTAGTATGTAGCTCCCGGAGTTGATTTAACAACACTTTGTTATGTGAAAATCATGATGGAAGGTGAAGGGCTTGGACCAGCTACAGAAATCTTGATTCTTGTTGGTGAGTGTGACTCTAGAATCCATCCACCAGTAAATTAAAGTTTAATGAACACATACTATAGGCCAGATACTGTGCCAGGAGCTGTGAATATAGAGATTTTAAAAACACAGGGGATCCCTTCAGGGAGCTTGCAAAACTCAAGTATACGATTACACTATTTAAACAAAATATGCAGCTTGAAGAATATAGTTTAAATCTTACTTTTGGCATTGGACACCATGGATTTTCCTTTAGTATATTTACTCCTATTTGGGGGGGAATCCACTTCTGGCTACTTTTTCTTTTCTTTTTTAAGATTTTATTTATTTATTTGAGAGAGAGGGAGAAAGCACAAGCTGTGGGGGGGGGTTGCAGAGGGAGAGGGAGAAGCAGACTCCCGGCTGAGCAGAGAGCCCGACGTAGGGCTCGATCCCAGGACCCCGGGATCATGGCCTGAGCTGAAGGCAGATGCTTAACCAACCGACTGAACCACGCAGGCCCCCCTTGGCTACTTTTTCTACCAGGACTACTGCCAAGTCATGCGGTGCCCTCAAGCAAATTAGAAAATGTCACACCGTCTTTGGGGCAGACTAGGCAAAAAAAAGAAAAGTCCTCACATGTCTTCTTTTTAACCATTTTTGTTGGCTGATCATGTACTCGATGACTTTACAATAAGTCAATAACCAGAATTTTCGTTAAAGGGAGGAAGGAACTATCATTTCAATTCTCCCTGCTACTCCTCTGTGACTTAAAAGTGGGCTGAATAATGCCACTCAAAGACTTCTACATCCTGGTCCCTGGAGCCTGTGAATACGTTAGTTTGTGTGGCAAAGGGCACATCCCTTGTTTGATTAAGTTAGGGATTTTGAGATGGGAAGACTCTCCTGGATTTTCCAAGTGAGCCCAATATAATTTCAAGGGTCCTTATAAAGAGGGAGGCAGGAGGGTCAGAGTTAGAAAGATTTGAAGATGTTTTACTGCTGCCTTGAAAGATGTAGGAAGGGGCTGTGAGCCAAGGAAAGCTGGTGACCTCTAAAAGCTGGAAAAGGTAAGGAAATGGGTTCTCCCCTAGAGCCTCCAGGGAGAGTGTGGCCCTGTAGACCCCTTGATTTTTGGCCCAGTGAAACCCATTTTGGACTTTTGACCTCCAGAACTGCAAGAGTAAATATGTGTTGTTTTAAGTCACTAAGTTTGTGTTAATTTATTACAGCAATGACAGGAAGCTAATACAAAGAAACAAAGTAGCTAAACTAGGGTGTTGGCTCCAGCAGGCTCTTTGTGGGAGTATGGTGAGACCCACCCCACAGGGAAACTCCACCAAGGCAGTTCGTCGCCGATAAAGTGAGAGAGGGCGGGCCCCCACCTCATTTTATAAGGGTCAAGAATCAAGCTGGAAATATCCAGTAGCAACCACAGACCAAAAAATAAAATTCATAAATAAGACATAACCCAAGAATCAGGAGTCAAGCAGAGATTGGAGTATGAAAGGCTCAGATAAGAAACAGGAAGGAAGGGTGCAGGGTGTTGCTTTGCCACCCTCTTGGGAGCATCCTGAGTGTAATCGGAAGCTGGCCCCTGTACTCAGAGGACAGAGAGACTGAAGACAGAGGCAGTCACTCCAGGTCGGCAGGTGGCCATTTTAATAATAGCAAAGGGCACGACCCTTATCATGGGTGGCAGCAATGGATCTCTGCACCCACCCTCCAAATCTTAGAAATTTATAGAGGCCCTAACTGTGCTCAGTCACATATCCTACAGGTGTTCTCAACACCACATCACCATCTCAAGGTTACGTCCTTGGAGCAGCCTCTGGGAACAGAAAAGGCAAGTGGGACCCACATTCCCGGGACAGAGGAGAGACTGAAGAACCTTTGAGTGCCCAAGCCTAGCTCATGGGTCAGTTGGTGGCCACATGTTTTTGATGACGTTCCCCAACATAGGGTAGCTTCATGAAAGGATATCGGATTAGCCAAAGTTTATTAGAAAGTGGGCACCAAAAGCTTAAGGAAAGTCTAGATGACTTAGCAGAATCCCTTAGTGGAAACATCTCATTTATTGACAACTGACTACCAGTTAGCATAAGTATTTCATTTAATTTGCATAATAACCCCATGAGTTGGGTGTTATAACCCTTGCTTTACTAATGAAATTCACAGAGGTTAATTAAGTGACTTGTCCAAGGTCGCAGAAAACACTAGGAAGTGAAGGTGGGGTTCACCTCATCTCTTCAATCCCAGGAGCCTTGTTCTTTCATCCAAACCATGCCACTTTCCTTTCAGGAAAAATGTTTGTTGACTTTTTTGGTTGTATGCACAGTTCAAAGCAGAAAAACATGATGTCACCTTTTGAGATACTCATTTTATCAGTGAGAACTTGAAAATGAAGTTAAAAATTAAGCAGCAGAGTCAGACTCAGGTGTTCTGCTCTGAGGATGTAGGCCAGACCTGATGCTGTCTGACTGCCACATGGCTCATTACTTATCCTTGTGAAACCCTGTGGAATTATTTGAAAGGGAGGAAAGGATAGAAACTTCTTCAGGGAGCCTTATAGTCTAGGGCTTAAAATACTGGTTTAATGGTGAAGGTAAGTGCTTTTCTTCTTTTTGGGTCAGAGGATAATTACTAATCAATCAGAGATCCATTAAAGGGAGGGAACAGTTTGAGGGGAAGTCAGAGGAAAACCGTTAACAGCAGCCTGAGGATTCCCACCTGGGAATGGTTTCTGTTTCCAAAATGAAGAAGAGACTTTCTAAAGCATGCAATCGATTCAATCGATTCAATTGAACAAGGCTTGAAAGGCCACAAGGGCCAATGGACACTGGGCAATTCTCTGAGGATTCCGTATTAGCTGTGACACCTTGATGAGTTGGATGGGTTTCACTGTGGGATAAAATACTGGATCAGAACTAACCAGGTTTGGGCTTGGGGACTGTGGCAAATGAGTCTTTTCAGATTTCTATGTATATTTGAGATTGTCTCTCAAGAAAAGGAGAATATGAAGTTGTGAATAAGATTAAAGGCAAGAACACCTGTATGCTTGTAGAGCTCACCTAGTTAGTTGCCCTCATCGGACAGCTCAGGAAAGGTGCCCAGAGAGATTATGATTACGGTGCTATGGGAGGAAGCCCTAGGCGCAAACTCAGTGAAGGTGCCTTCTCCCAATCTGCCAGAGAAGATCCTGGTCCAAAGCACAGTTGGGCTCGTACAGGCCTGAAAGACAAGCCTGAGGTTGTCTCTTGGAAGAAAGGAGCACAGGCACTCCTGCGGATCTCCTGGTGAGCTGAGCTGTGAGTCCCCCAAGGCAGTGACCCAATTGCCCCTGATTTGGGCCTTACCCTGCTTTCTAGGATCACCCACTATTGGTGCTTGATACACTTTTTCTTTTTCTTTTTTCATGATTAAATCCATAAGTGAATTGACAGCATGACTTAAAGGACCTACTGGAATAACAAGTTTTATTTCAGCACGGTAGGCAGAAATAAAGGTAGAATCTTTCAGAAAGGTAGGCAGGTGATAAAAAGGGGCCTCAGTTTTACTAACATTGAAAACATTGCTTCTTCGCATGTTCTCTGATGTCTGTAGCAAGATGCATCCCTTCTTCCCCCATCTCGTGGATTCTAGTTCAGAAGAACCTTCTTTTAAAAGGACATGTTTAAAACCAATTTAACAATCAATCAAAAGCACTTCCAGAGAAATGTATTTTATCTGCTCTAAATCTGTACTTATTAACCTGAGAGGGCCCGAGTGCCAATCTTGTGAGTGTTGATTATTAGTAACAGTTTACAATGCATACTTTACATTTAGAAGACATGCTTCAAACCATTTTTTTTCCACTCACAACTGTCCCGTGAAGTAATATCATCCCCATATTACCTCTTTTTTTTTTTTTCTATTTCCTGTTCAATTAAAGCTCTGGTAGCTTATGAAAAATGCACAATCTGGTTTACCCAGATTGTAAATGGCACAGAAGAGCTTGGTCCCTGGATACCCTTTGAACTACAGGTTCATACTCTTCAACCACATGTAACATTTACTCTGAGTAAACTGGGGGACTCGACTAACAGAGATGATGCAAGACAGGCTGAGGATTAGGGGAAATCTAAGAGCAATAAAAAGACTACTCTAACAAAATAGTGGGCTCCAGACTGAAACAAATAGGAAAAAAGACTGCTCTTTTGCTTCTGCATAAACTATATTGTTGACATTATTAATTTATATCAACTACAACTCTATACTGTATCATCAAATTATTTTTAAAAGGAAGAACTTTTGTTTACTGTCTATTCAATTTTTCTATATTTACTTAGAGCTTTGGTGCTAGGACTCACTAGTTTTTAGAAGTGTCACTCCTGAATGGGAAGGTCCTTAACTGTTTACAACTGGACTAAGACTCAACCCACTGTCTCTGAGTTCATATCAGTCATGATAAGGCTCAGACCCCAGCATTTCATATGCTTCTGTGATTATTTTGGGAAAGTAGTTTTCATTATTACATCACTGAGAGACCCTAGTGTAGAGTAGTTTGGGATGTCTGCCCAATTTCTCTCTTTGTCCCATGAAAAGGAAATAGGAAATTAATAAGTGAAATCAGCTATTGAGACAAAATTCAAAACAGTATGTGAAATCATGAAAACTAAGGTAGGGATGGCAACAAGTGGAAGGAGGACAGCTGAAGTGACAGGTCTGTGATACAATTCCACTAGCAAACAAACAAACAAACAAAAAGCAAGAAAAACTAGTCATTTTTCTTCTCTTCAATATTCAAAGCTCCACTTGAAAGTATTTTCATCATCAAATTTCCTTCTGGAATAAATGTTTAAAACCATTTAAAGCCATATGAATTCTTCTGTAGAATATCTCAAAATGAAGCTACCCTATTGTGTTCTAAGCTGAGCTTAAAACAGGAACATAAAGGGAAAGTGTATTTACAGATAGGATAAGTAACAGTCTGGCCATCCGGAGAGCTGGTGCTGGCTCTGTAAACCATGTGACTGGGAGTCAACCTCTCAGACATCCTGCACACCGATTTTCTCACCAGCAAAATGAACAGTTGGGCCAGAGGATCTCTGGAGTGTCTTTCAGCTCTAGAGTTCAGACTGAGTGGTGAGGTTGGTGGGAAAGCTTTCAGGGGAGTATGGACACTAGTAGTCACATGTACAGCAAGGAAGTTCCCTTTAGGCAAGTCTTGGGAATTTACCTAACAAGGTAAATCAGCTAGAGAGTGGTCCAAACTCCAGGTAAACGAGGTGTCCTTTCCATTGTGCTTCAGCTAGGATCTGAGTGAAAAGCACTGAACTGGGCTTCTGACACCATCCAGATGTTAGCAAGACTTGAAAGCCTTCCACAGCAGGACAAAAGCCAACATGTTTCCTGGTGCTGACCTTGTCTGGTTTAGGCACTGGGCATCTATTTAGGTCAGGGTAAACAAATGAGAAAATTTCAAAACTTCGAGGGGGAGATCTTATTCTTAGAATTCTAGAAACTTTGGCAAGCAGAAGGCTATCCTGTCTATGCTAACGAGGCCTAATTACCATTTTTTCAATTAGATTCCTCCGGGTATAAAATGAGTATCTGTGATTTGGAAAAAAAAAAAAAAATCACTAGGTGGATCTGGAAAATCGTAAAGAATAATGTGAGCACCGTGTTCTATAACCCAGAATTAGCCCCGGCTGGTACTTGTGTGAATCTTTTTCTTTTTCTGCGCATGTGCAGGAATCAACACGGGCACGGCCACTGCTCTGTACTCGAGAGTACCCGCATTTCCCTCACAGTCGTCAACATCTTGGGGATGTTATTTTAAGAAAGTCCATCATAAGAATCTATTAAAGTTGACTCACTAAAAACCTTTTGGTTAGGTTAATTTGTCTCCAATATTATGCTGTAATAACTAATCCTGCAAAGAATTTTTTGGACAAAACTCTTCATCTTACCGTTCCTTATGAGCCTCTGTCCTAAAGTCATGGAATATGAACGTCCCTAAGGGTGCAGATAATTCTTGTTAAGTTGATGTGCAGAAAGAAGGCAAAGTTCTGGGTGATGAAATATAAGCATGATACATGTATTTATAAAGTCATGGAGGCTTCAGTTTAGGGACAGCTGCAAAACTGACAGTATTCTGAGGATAAGGATTGTTCCTAAAAGAAATGTGTATGTATCCGCAAAGAGAGTTCGGCCGGTATACAAATATCAAGTTAAACATGTCCACTTGGGGATCATGAATTCGCTTTTCCTGTCAAAAGAACTGGGTTTATTTGTAATTGTAGTAGAAAGTCCCACTCTGTGATTTTACAGATGGTCTGAAGAACTTTTCAGTCCAATGAAGTGTCCAATTTGTGTGTAGCAAAGACAGCAGGAAACATTTCTGAGCCTCAAATGAGTATACCTAAGTGTTACGCAATGTCATCCTTCTTGTTCAGAGAAGACCCAATGTGGCATTGTTCTGGTTGTCCAGAAGGAACAGAAACACGGTCATAAGGAAAGCAAGGGTGTTCTGGAACTTTCTTGTCAGCTCCTGAGCTTATTTAACTTTCCTGTCCTCTGATCCACCCGCAGCCACAGTACTCCTCGCCTTTGCACAGTTCTCTGTGGTTTGCAAGTTTCTCATTCAATTCTTGGGGCAGCACTCAGAAAGAGGCTGATTCTTACTGAACAGATGAGCGAAGGGATAGTTGCAGAATTTAAACAACCAGTTCTAAGTCACATAGCCCGATTTTCTTATAAAAACCGAGTCCTCCGTTAGCTTAACAAGAGTGTACTGCAAAATGTAAATCACATAGCTGTGTTGGATCAAAACTTTGATACTCAGAGAAGGCCACATTCACATGAAAAGTTATTTGTGTGTCTTGTTTTGGACTGTTGTTCATCCCATAGATAAAACCCAGTCGTGGTCAAAGAGATTCAGGGCAGAGGGAAAGTTCACACACTGTGCCACTATTTCCCAAAGAAGCCAAATGGACAAGAAGTCTTCCACCAGGAAAGGTAAACCCTCCCCTCTGGTTTGCAGGCACTTCATGGAAGAGTGGGCACTCATCTCCAGTGCTGTTCTTTTCCTTGCTTTCTCCTCCGAATTTTTTTTTTTAATCATGTCACCCGTTATAAAGACTCAAAGACTCAATAGAACATTGTACTAGCTCCAGCCCCTCATTCTGTTACCTGTTGTTTTTTTGTTTAGGGAGCCCCACTGAGTTACTTATCAGAAATCAAGCCAAATGACCAATAAATACTGGGCCATAAGGAATGGAATAAATCTTGAAAAAGTCATTTTAAACAACCTATGTATGAATTCTTCTATAGTGTTATTGCCAAGTGGCTGGCTATTTCCCAGAGCTTGGAATCCTCCAGTAGCATAGGAATAACTCTTTTGCAGGCAAATAATCCTATCATTGAGCCTATTTGGCCATTAAAAATGGTTTCTTTCATTATATTTTTATCTGCTTGTTCACAGGTCCTCTCTTTATTTCTCCTTAGTTCTAGTTCTCCAAATTCACAGAAAAAAAATCGAATCCATCATTCACTTGGGAACCCTTGCAATATTGGTCCATTGTTCCACTTTGTGGGGACTTTTCAAAAAATGTGTTATTCTTGGAGACACCTGAGTGGCTCAGTTGGTTAGGCGGCTGACTCTTGATTTCAGCTCAGGGTCCTGAGATTGAGCCCCGTGTCGGGCTCCACGCTCAGCAGGGAGTCTGCTTGAGTCTTCTCTCTCTCCTTCTCCCTCTGCCCTTCCTCTCTCAAATAAATAAATAAATCTTTAAAGAAAATGTGTTGTTCTTGTAACATATGGAATAATTGTCCAGCACTGTATCACCTGCAAACTCAGTAAAGATGGTTCTCTGCATTAGTTTTTTAAGAGCTGAATGCATATGCAGTCAGGTCTAGTGACACCCAACAAAAATGTTTCCAAGTGAACATCAGACCAAGGAATCAGTGGAGATGCTCATCTACACACACTCTCTCTCAAATATTTCAAAGAGAATCCTTGGAGGTTTGGTTAGCTTCCTGCAACAGCAGTTCTCTAAGTATAAACTTCCAAGCTTTATGGTGAATGAATATGCAGAACAGACAGGACTTCTGACTTGCAGCTGGGTGACTTGGGTTTTATCACCGGCTCTGCCACTGTCTCCCCCATTCAGTTTATTTTGGGACAATGTGATCTAAATGCCTTCACTTAGGTTTTCCTGTAGTTACCATCTGCTTCCCATACCTCTGGGAAAAAAGGCCATATTTGCTTTACTTGACTGTAAGATCCCAGATTGATTCTCTTCCAGCGAACTAAAGAATATGGCAAAGGAACGTTGTATGTAGTCGTGGTTATTTCAGTGAAAAAAGGCCGTGGGGCTGAGTGAGGTCTCTGATGTTTTTTTCAGATTTAGCCATGGGACACGTAGAAAGATGGCCTCAGTCAGGATGTTCATTGTGTGCTTCCATATTGTCCTCTAGGTCCAGATTTCTGTTCCTTACGCTATGGACTGGCTCTCATCATGCACTTCTCAAATTTCACCATGATAACCCAGCGTGTGAGTCTGAGCATTGCAATCATCGCCATGGTGAACAGCACTCAGCAGCATGGTCTGCCCAATGCCTCCACAGAAGGACCTCTTGCAGACACTCTCAACAACCCCAGCAGATCCATGAAGGAATTTAATACAGGGGTAAGTATCATGGAGAATGAGGTTCTTTGTCGAGAGGGAAAACCCAGTTTGAAACGAAGGATCTTGATTCTGTGAAGCATAGAAGCATGAATTTTCAATGACCAACCGAAAAAAGACTGGAATTTTGTTTTTGAGAGATTTCTTACCTCTGTGATAAAAATAATCCTTCATTGAGATTGTTATGATTATAAGGTGGGGGGGACTATAGAAAAAATTGTGAAAACTTCCACAAAGAAACAGAATACTAGGTGTCTTCCATGAAAAACTTGGCACAGAGCACATCCTTCTGCCAGATTCTATGTAGATCTCTGCACCTTTCCTTGTCTTGGGGCCATTCTGCAACTCTGTAAGTTCTATATAACAAATAGTAATGCAAGGGATTTTTGCCATGGCTCTGCAAATGAATTTTGTCCTGTGGAAAATCAATTAATACTCTCCTCACTCGCCACTTAGTTGAATAAGCCAATTTTGCCATATATTTAAAATCTAATTCAGTATTACTTCCTACTTATGGGTCTTTGAATTCTCTTTGGACCAGTTGTAACATCTTACCAATTCCCTTATTAATCAATGAGTTAAATAAAATCTTTATCCCAATATTGTATGAGAATTATGATTACACCTTATTTTTAAATTTTTTCTTTAAACTATCATTTACTGTACATTCCTAATGTCACCCTTGTATTTCATGACTTTATTACCTTGGCCCCAGCTTATTTATAATAACCTCTCTGCCTCCAGTCTTTTCTCCATAATTCATCCTACACATTCACATTCTCATGCTCAAGATTCCAGGATACCTTCAAGTTGCCAAACTTCTCTCTTGATGTGCTTGCTCCTCCAAAATCTGGCCCCACTTCTCAGCACATTCAGATCTGCTCTCAGTGGCCCAGGTTCTGAGTAAATCAGAGCCCTGGTTAGTTTCTCTTCATCTGGTATCATTTCAAATGCTACAAGTTCACTTTTGCTCTTCAATAAAAATGAATCTTCCTATTTCTCTTTGTGCAAATCATCGTCATTCTTCAAAGGATGGATCAAGTATTGCTTCCTTCCTGGGATCTTTGCAAATTGTTCTTCCCTCTTCTCAAAGTCCCTATTTTACTGATGTTTATCCTCAAACTTGAATTCTCACCTGAATCATATATCTTGCATTATTTATAATTATTATAAATGGATAAAAATAGTTTATATTATATATATATGTATGTATTTTTGCTTCTTTACTTCAGTTTATAGCATGATGCCACATATCTAGTAGGCTACCAAAAATTATTTATTGGCTTACATCATGAGAAGAATGTGATCTTATTAATATGCAATATGTGTTTTAGGAAGTCATCTCTGCCAAGGCAGACCATAATTCCTAAACTTGATTTTAAGGACTAATTTTGATGAGAGGTCAGTAAAGTTGTGTTTTTTTTAATTTTTGAAATGAGAGTCAACATGTCCCCTAACTTTTCTCAGAAGCAAATATTTAAAGGAAGCTCTTTTTCAGATGAAATATCTCTCAATGGCCTTTTTTCATTTAATATCTTCCTATCGTGTATTCATTTCTTTATCTCTTTCCTTCTTCATTTCTTTTGATTTTACTCCCCCTGTGAAAGGAGCAGATTAGGGGTATAATTGGTTGTTTGTTTGGAAGAGGTGGGATATCTGTTCTGTAAAAAATACAACTGATGAATCACTAAATTATCTCTGAAACTAACAATACACAATTTGTTAATTAAGTTGAACTTAAATAAAAAAAAATTTTAAAGAAAATAAGTAAGATCTTTTAAAAAAACAAAAAAAAAATACCGAAAAGTAGATTTTTATACTAGAATCCCACCAACCCTAAGCAGCACTGGTTTTAAAGTAGATTTTCATAACAGAACTTCTTAGCAAATAATTTTCTTTCTTCCCCTCCACCCCCCACCAGGCCTCTGTATATGAATGGAGCCCAGAGACTCAGGGTATCATCTTTAGCTCCATCAGCTATGGGATAATAGTGACTCTGATTCCAAGTGGATATTTAGCAGGGATATTTCGAGCAAAGCAGATGCTTGGTGCTGGTCTGCTGATCTCCTCTCTTCTCACCCTCTTTACGCCGTTGGCTGCTGACTTCGGAGTGATTTTGGTTATTGTGATTCGGACAATCCAGGGCATGGCCCAGGTATCCAGCTACTTTCTCATTCTGAGTGGGATACAGGTGCCCTAATTCTACTGGAGATCAAAGGTCTTAATGATTTTCCTTTCAGGGAATGGCATGGACAGGTCAGTTTACAATTTGGGCCAAGTGGGCTCCCCCACTTGAACGAAGCAAGCTCACCAGCATTGCGGGCTCAGGTAAGGATGTGCATATGGATGACAGCTTTGTAATCTGCTTTGCCCCCAGACGACGACGCATCTTCCCTTCTCTGCATGGGATGTTTTGGGGGGAGAGGGAGAAAGTGCTACCCAGAAATTTGACAATGTGAGACAGTTACATAACACCTGTGAGAGAAAGAAAGATACGTCAGTGCCATATATCTACTAAGGCTCAGAAGCAAGAGGCCACTGTGAGCTTGGGTAGTCAGCAAAGCATTGTCAGAAAATGTCTGTAACTTAAATCGGCATAAATGCAAAAAGATCAAGTAAACTTAGGGGCGCCTGGGTGGCTGAGATGGTTAAGCATCTGCCTTTGGCTCAGGTTATGATTTTAGGGTCCTGGGATTGAGTCCCCTGAAGGGATCTCTGCTCAGTGGGAAGTCTTTCTCTCTGCCCCTGGCCCCTTCATGCTCACACTCTCTCTCTCAAATAAATAAAGTCTTTTAAAAAAAAAGATCAAGTAAGCTTATATAATACTTACCCATGGTGTATAAACACTATTTTGGCAAAGATATACACGTGAGAATTAAGACTATCAGATTTCACAGTGGTAAGGAGAGAAATCAGGCTGGAAAGTTGAGTTTAAAGAGCCCACGTGATTTCTGAGCTCTTTGCTATTCTGAGCTAATCTTCACAGCACCTCTCTGATAATTAACAATTTTTAAACTCTCATTTTACAAAGGAGGGAATTAACATATGCAGAAATTAAGTAAATTGCCCAAATACCGATAGCCAGCCTGTGACAGAGCTGAGATCTGAGCCTAGGCAGTTTGACCCCAGAGCGCACTCTCAGTCGCCCCGCCGTCTGCCTCTCCAGGGCATGTGATCAGATCACACCAAGGACTTAAATGATTTTATCACTGCCATTTGCCCCAACTGGTAGCACTGGAAGTGTATACTTGCAGAATAGAAGTGAGGTTCCCTCAAGCCTCTCACTCCCAGCTCCAATGTACAGCTGCATCCTACAGATGCTTTTTACTCCAAAGCAAACCTCCTGCGTTCTGGCTCCTTCCATTGCAGTTGTCCTGTCTTCTCTATCTATAAATGCTCTTGATGAGGGAGCAGAAGGCTAGCGGAGGACAAAGCACAAGCTGACAGCCCACAACTCCCACTCCTGGGTGGGATATGTGTGATATTCTTCCAGGAAGCCCCCAACTATCTTAATGTTAACGCCTTGCTAGAGGAGGAAAAACAACCTTGACTTGACAATGGCAAGGTCTCTGGTATCTGGTTGGTCCTCTTTAGCATATGAAAGTCCTTTTGAAAACCTCCCTTTGCCTCACCTCACCCAGCCCCACAGTATATAATCAGCCTCCCCTCCCAACCCCAGGGCAGCAGCTCTTCCTGCCCACGGGTCCTGTCCCCAGGCTTTAATAAACCACCATTTTGCACCAAAGACGTCTCAAGAATTCTTTGTTGGTCATCGGCTCCAGACCTCACCCCACCGAACCTCACCTATATTCCAAAACCACATCACTCTCAGCTAGTCTTCTCTCTCCTCAGCTTTGTTCCCTGCAGACTTCTCTTCCCATCAAAGCCAAGTTACCTCCTTAAAGCACAGATAAGGCATCTTTGCTCACTTGCTTGGACTTCAATGCGTTCCTCCATGACTGCAGACAAAAATGGATCTCCTTATTGCGTGGATACAAAGATCGGCTGCTATATGGTCCCAATCTGCTTTGCCACTCAGCATCCCTCTGTAAGCAAGGCTCACGTCACACCACCTACAATCTGCACTTACCTTCTCTCTGGCTCTCCCATCCTGGCCCATTTTCCTGGAAGGTCCTCTACTCCTAGCTTCTTTTACCCAAAATCCATCCATTTCACTGCTTAGCTCATGTAAACAATTTGTAAGCCTCATTGTCAACTTCAACACTCTCCTCTTGTATACATCCATAGCATAGTGTAGTTGATTATTGTAGCTGTATTCCACATCCTTCTTTTCCCCCGAAGTGCAGATTGGGACCCATACAGGGGTCATAAAATTAATGTAGTGGGTCAAAACCAGTATTTAAAAACAAAATAGAATAGAACAGAAAATGTTGGAGTGCATTACACATGGTGAGTCTAAGTATTGACTCATGAAACTTTTGTTTGAGTTTTATGCATGTGTATGTATTTGTGTATGTTTAGTGTTGCCATGTAAAATGCGTTTCTTATTGTGGATCTCTGTTAAATATGTTCAAATTCCAAAGTCTACATTATATTATATTTGTAATAGTGAATTTGGCTCATGCTTTTCTCTCCAGCTGGACTGAAGTCTCCTTGAGGTCAGAGACTGTATCTTATTAATCTGTGTAAGACTTTTCTTTCCTGTCCTCAACCTCATATTGCACCCTGCCAGAATGCAACTCTGATTCTAAGGAAATACTGGTGGGCTATGATTGCAGAGTTTCTATGACAAACTAAGGGATTTGTACTGGGCTCATTGGTGTTAAGGAGCTCTTGAAGTGTCAGGAGGCATACCATTCTTGTTTATCAATTCTAAGTACTTCACATGATGTTACTAGGGGAGATCTGTGAACAGGAAGAAATACTCTCCTCACTCAGTAATTCTACGTCTGCCTCCACTCTGTTGGGACAATGTCCAGGGAGGCCACTCAATCTCAGCACTTTGCTGTCTTCATAACGTGCCTTTTTTGTCCCTCTTCTCTTCAGGGGCAGCGTTTGGGTCCTTCATCATCCTCTGCGTGGGGGGACTAATCTCACAGGCCTTGGGCTGGCCTTTTATCTTCTACATCTTTGGTGAGTCATTTTCCCCTGAATCCCAAGCCCTCTGTTTGCCAGCCGTTTGGTTGGATGCCCACATTACCTGTCACCCATTCCCATGTGAGAGAGAACGTTGAAGATTGGTAGCTCCCTCCCTCCAATCTAGGAGATGACTCTGTGTGGTGTTGACGTTTGAGGAACTGGGAATGCAGCCTTCCCCTCCCACCCCAGGCATCTTCTGTAGAATCTCCACCACCCACATCTGAAATGCCAGGTCTAGTTGCCTTGTGGTTAAAATGTCAGTGTCACCAAAAGTTGGTGGAATACACGTTAAACATGCCTTCATATTTTATTGTAATTATTATTTCTGCCAAGATGCCCTTAACCTATGCTCTACCAGGCAAATCTTGCAAAGCTCATTTAAATGCACCCTTCCAGGGGCGCCTGGGTGGCTCAGTCGGTTAATTGTCTGACTCTTGTTCTTGGCTCAGATCTTGATCTCATGGTCGTGAGTTTGAGCCCCTCACTGGGCTCCATGCTGGTTGTGGAGCCTACTTAAAAAAAAAATGCATCCTTCCCTAGGGAAACTTCCGGGGCTTATCACATCAGATGCAGTCTTTTACCTTCTTCAAATGACAGATCTCAGCAATGAGACACATTTCTGTTCTATTGTTATAACCAAATGATGTCATTCAATATGGTTCTGGCTTGTATGGCTCTCTCATTAATGATGTTAATCCCAGGTCATCTTTGGTCCACACGTGTTAATCAGGTATTGTCAAGAAATATTTCTTCTGGAAATTCATAATGAACGTATTGTTTGAATACAAATAACATTGTCTTTTGCAAATGTGCTGGAAATTTTGCTTTGCCACCCTGATTTTCTGGCAGGTTGTTTCGTGTGTGTATGACTCCTGTGTTCTCCAATCCTGACTACTCAGATCTTCCAAAATAAGACAGTAACGTGTGTAATAAGAAATTGCTGTTAATGACACATAACACTATAAACCACTGGAGTCCTAAGAGTAATTAACCAGCTGTGCAATGGTACATTCATGCTCAGTTCTCTCCAAAGGGCTCTGACGTTGACAAATGGCACTCTAAATTTGAGAGGTGGTATCTGGAGAGCTTTTAAAAGGCGATTTGTAGGGGCGCCTGGGTGGCTCAGTCGGTTGAGCGACTGCCTTCGGCTCAGGTCGTGATCCTGGAGTCCCGGGATCAAGTCCCGCGTCGGGCTCCCTGCTCGGCGGGGAGCCTGCTTCTCCCTCTGACCCTCCCCCCTCTCATGCTCTCTCTCTCTATCTCATTCTCTGTCAAATAAATAAA